CATTAAATTTAAATCTTATTTCAAGAAACATGGCTACAGGATGTATCTTATTTATTATTTTAAATGATTCTCATTCACTTTAGGAGATTTAGACCATTTGACACATTTAGAATGAGCAGAAGTCATACTGGTTTTATGATTTATACTGGGAGGTTTCTTGAAGGAATCTTTGTTATACTCAGTAAATCCTTTTTCACAAACATTCATTGATAATCTTGTTACATTTGAAGTCAACTAAGTTACAGATATTTAATTTTAATGTGGGCATCAAATCGTCACGTTTGAATATATAATATTTTTAATTATTGAATCAGCTGTTGGTCAGGTTACTTCTTGTTGTGCCATTAGCTCTAAAATAGTTAGTGAATCAAGTGTTTACTTCCATCCATCCGGGGGGGGTACAGCCTAAGTGGGGAGGTTCAGACTTCCCTCTCCCCAGACACTTGGACCAGCTCCTCCAGGGGAATCCCAAGGTGTTCCCAGGGTTTACTTGTTCAGGTAAAACTAGATGTTAAACAACCATTAAAATACACCAGAATGCAGGAAATGGCATTTACTTTATTCAAAATTTTATGGGGGAGGACCCCCAGACCCCCCCCCCCCCATCAGTGTGTCCCCACACACACATTATAAATGCTCTGACACCAGTGGTCAACATGTTACTAAACAAGTACACACATGGTGTCATGTGGTGTTCAAAGTGCGTTCAACTTATCCTGATGCATGCTCAATAATCCAGGTAGAAAAATCCAAAAAGGTTCAATCTGGTCCTCTGGACATTCAAAAAAACAAAACAAAGCAAAAAAATGTAGAAACGTTTCGTCTCTCATCCGAGAGACTTCCTCAGTCTGAGGTGCTGTATTCAGCTCAGTCTCTTAAATAGCACCTTCTCAGAGTGGATCAACCAGTTTGCTGCTGACAACCAAAACCAGCTGCTCACATGCTCAAGAAGGACCATCAGCCTAACAATGGATCATTAGATTTGTTTTGGTCCGGTCTGTTCTCTACTCTGTTGGCCATTTTAGTTAGCTTCTGCTGCTATTTGTATCTGTATTTCTATTTTATGTTTTCCTGTCTGCTGTGCATGTTTGTTTCTTTTGTACAACACTTTGGTTGGCCTTGTTGCTGTTTTAAGTGCTATATAAATAAATTGGTATGGTATTAGCACCTGATGGCTGTTTACTACTCACAGAGGGCTGAGTGATACTAGCAATCACAGCATTGTAAGAGGGGGACAGTTGAACCTGGAGGCTCCACCCCTGTTTAATGATGGACGGTTTCTTTTCACAAAGATGGCCTCCTTTACTCCTCTCTCAAACCATCGTTCCTCTCTGTCCAGGATGTGAACATCTTCATCCCTGAAAGAGTGACCGCTGGCCTGGAGATGAGTGTAGACCGCAGAGTCCTGGCCTGATGATGTTGATCTTCTGTGCTGGTCCATCCTTTTGGCCAGTGGCTGTTTTGTTTGCCTGATGTAAGAATGATCACCCTCCTGACACTGAACAACATACACAACATTACTCTGTTTGTGCCGGGGGACTGGATCTTTGGGATGAACCAGTCTTTAATGTATTTTGGGGTTTAAAAGCCACTGGGACGTTATGTTTAGAAAATAAACGTCTCAGTTTCTCTGATACTCCCTCAACATACGGACCAGCTCTTTTATTGTATGTTTGGTTTATAAGCAATAGTTTGATCTTTAGTCTGTATTTAAACTTGGAGATATCCAAAGCCTCGAGGTTACACTTTGTATGTAGCGGCACTTTTGCGCCACCAGAGGGCAGCTTTGTGATGAGTTGAATGTTTGTGAGTGCACATAAAGAGAAGAAGAAAAACAAACTTTTGGTTGGTGTGAATGCTGTGTGCCATGTGGTGAGACATTAAAACCACTTGAAAATCACCAGACGTCCTCCTTCTTCTTAGAAAGTGCAACACTCCGTTTTTGTTTTTTATTTCCAGAAGAAAAAGAAGTGTCTTCTTCAGAGTTTTTTTTGTGTCGTTTCCTTCAGTAGTTTTGGGTGCAGCGCCACCACAGGCAAGGGGGGAACAGGTTGGCTCGACTGACTCAGGGTGCATTCACACCAGCCCTGTTTAGTCACTTTAATCCAACTCCAGCTCGTTTTCCTAGAAAGTCCGGTTTGTTTAGGGAGGTGTGAACGCACCATCGAACTCTGTCACGGAACAAAAAGGAGAACTCTGGCCCGGGCTAAAACCTAGGACTCGGTCCGGTAGAAGAGAACTCCAGCACGGTTCCAGTGCAGTGTGAATGTGAACAGACCGGACCCGCTCCGCAGGACAAACAAACACACATTTCTCTTATATGGAGTCGTCAGCTGCCTTGTGTGAAGAACAATATTCTCCATGGTCTTCTGTCTCATCTTCTGCTCATGCTGAGTCCATTGTTGAAAAATGACTAAATATAACTCTTAAAACTGCTAAAACTTGATGCCACTTCGTTTTTATTTTATATTTACAGAAGAAGAAGAAGACGTGTCTTCAGAGGTTTTTGTGTTGTTTCTTTCAGTAGTTCTTGGTGCAGCGCCCCCACAGGCGAGCGGGGGAACAGGTTGGTTCAACAGGTTGACTCGACTGCACAGTGCAGTGTGAATGCAAACGCACCAGCTCAAATGTAACAAAAGGTCATGAATATTGGTCCAGAACCGAGTCTACCGGACTATCTGGTGTGAAAACGACCTGAGCGCAGTGTGAATGAGAACCGCACCAGCTGAAAATGTCAACAAATGTTCTGAATTTTGGTCTCCAATCGAACCCAGTCTACCGGACTATCAGCTGTGAAAATGATCTTCTTGTTCAATTTAGATGTGTGGTTTTGTTTCTTGTATAGCAGTCCTTCTCAAATAGTGGGGCGCGCCCCCTGGCGGGGGCCGCATGTGACCCCGGGGAACATTTTGCAACAGGGAGTAGTCTTTTTTTTTTTTGCACCATTCTCATTTTGTTCAGCCACTGTTTTCTTGGATCATCAACTCTCAGTCCGACTAATAATGAAGTTATGAACAAATACGGCTGCCTTGTTGTTTGTGGAGCCATGCTTGAACCGTCGCTCCACGATAAATGAATAACTCGGACACCTCCGCTGCTGTTTTTATGACGCTCTGGATGCTTGTCACCCACAGCACGCATGCAACAAAGAGTATAAACGCAAAGCGAGAGCGACACCTGCCCCCTCTTTTCCTCTTTTGCCTTATGGAATTTTTTTAGTTTGTCAAAGCACAATTTTGATGTTTTTTTAATTTGTTGTAAATACAGAAGTAATGTTTAATAAATGTGAAGACTCTGTTCTTTGGTAACAAAATATATTTTACATCATTAAACAACTTGTCAGGTTCTTCTCTTGTGAGCACGCTCCCCAGGACCACCACCCACCCCCCACCCCCGCCAGCCCCCTTGCTCTTGTGCTCTTGGCAGCTTCTCTGCTGTTGCTGCACTGAAGACCAAGTCCAGGTTCCAGCCAGACATAGAGGTGCACGATCATGTTTCAATAGATCACAATGACAAATGTTGCTGGGCGATTAATTGTCTTAGAAATTATTGCAAAAAACAATAATATTGTTTGAAATTTGACCGTAAGTAGTAATTATTGTCAAATGTAAGAAGAAATGTTTTAAAATTTGTTTTGCATGTATTACCGTTTTCGACCACTGGATGGCAGTACAAGACTGTTTGAACCAGAGGATGGATATCCTGATGCATGCTCAATAATCCAGGTAGAAAAATCTAAAATAATTAAATCTGCTCCTCTGGACTAGAGGATGACACAGGAGTGGATTGTCACTCCTGTCCTGTCCTGGTCCCACAGAAAAATCCTGTCCTGTCCCACTTCTGGTAACACGACTCCTGCTCCTGTTTTTCATTTAATTTTTAGGAAATACATTGAATTTGATTTCATCTTCTACCCATTCCTGTTTAAATTACTTTGTGTTGTGCAGTTTTATTTCAAAAGATATGTCAACAGGAACAGTTCATCTGTGGTGAAATAGAGACATTTATTTCCTTAATCCAAACAAAAACCTTCACTAAATATCATAAAACAATAATCCATGGTCTGTAGTCCATATAATGTTTCTACGGAGGATCAGCTGCTGAGTCTGTTTCTGGCTCTTTTGAAGGTCAGTTACAGTAAAAACAAAAAATCTAAACCAGTACATGGGTCTCACCATGTCTACCTTAGATGAAAGAACCCAAACACAACAAGTTGCATTTTACTAATTTATTGAGCAATTGTTTCCTTTAAACAGTGACATCACTGTCATGTTTTAAATTGTTTAAACAAACTAACAAAAAAAGAAAAATAATGTACCAAGCAGAGAACTCAACAAATAAAAATGTTTAAAGGCGTTACTATACATTGGACGACGTCCTCCAGAAGTTCAGTCTGTGTGGTCGAGGTAACGAGCTCGTTTGGGTGAGGCATGATGTCGTGCATCTTCCCAGACTTCAGAGCATCATTTACACACTGGACCATTACAGGTCTGGTGTTCCACCTCATCTCTCCACAGCTGGACCAGTCCAGAGCATCATTTACAGACTGGACACTGGAGTGTTTTTAAATGTGTGGGGGACTTGTCCCCTTCACATATAATGGTTGCGACGTCTATAGTAAACAGCCATCAGGTGCTAATGATCCATTGTTAGGCTGATGGTCCTTCTTGACCATGTGATCAGCTGGTTTTGGTTGTCAGCAGCAAACTGGTTGATCCACTCTGAGAAGGTGCTATTTAAGAGACTGAGCTGAATACAGCACCTCACACTGAGGAAGTCTCTCTGATGAGAGACGAAACGTTTCTACATTTTTTGTTTTTTTGAATGTCCAGAGGACCAGATTGAACTTTTTTTAGATGTTTCTACCTGGATTATTGAGCAGCATCAGGACATGATCTGGACAGTTTCTTTTTCTGTGCTTCATGTGAATTCATCTGTGTGACCAGCAGGTGGCGGTGTTTCTTCCTGCTGTCTCACTAAACCACAGAAGAAGCAGAACGAGGAAGCTGCTGGAGCAGAGGCTCGAACATGAAGACGTGATGTTCTGTCAGGACAGAAACTACTGAGCAGTTCGATCAAAGTACAAGCTGACAATGCGATGGGAAACTGCTGGACTCATTGTGTTCAGCTCTTTAGGCTGGAAGCCACCAGGATCCAGAGAGGAGGCGGGTGAGTGAGTGACGCTTCAGCCTGTTAGCTAACTTCAGATCCAGCCGCAGCATCCTGTTCCTGAACAACAGCGACTTCAGCTGATAACTGGGAGCTCAGCTGTGTGTCGCATGTTTCCAGCGACTTCAGCTGATAACTGGGAGTTCAGCTGTGTGTGTCACATGTTTCCAGCGACTTCAGCTGATAACTGGGAGCTCAGCTGTGTGTGTCACATGTTTCCAGCGACTTCAGCTGATAACTGGGAGTTCAGCTGTGTGTCACATGTTTCC